AAAAATAAATTTAAAAAATAAAAAGATTTTTAAAATGGACAAAAATACATACAGACTTAGATAATCCTAAATATAAGAACAAATTGCAACTTCCATTATTGTGTCCAAAATATACTCTGATACATTTCGTATAGCCACTTTACTGTAGATTTCACTAATGAGCTGGCTATCCAAAGAAATGTTATTTGAACTATGGGCAGAAGAATGAGTTGGAGACAAATAAGTGAATCAGGAAAGAAACACCACCCAGGCCAAACAGCCTAGAATTGCACCTTCCTGAAAAGTTACAAGTTTTCTGGGCCAGCAAGATAGCTCAGCAGTCTAAAGTTCTGCTTAGGCAAGTGTGCAGGGACCATGGTTAGATCTCCACCACCACATGCAGCGCCAGCCCCGCCCCCAGGGTGGGCTGAGCCAGCCTCTCCCAGAAAAATTAGCTTTCAAAGGTACAGTTATTATCTCCCGGCCTGCCATGCGGGCCCCACCCCCTGGACACATTGAGACATCAATTGATACTGGGCATGGTGGTGTGTGCCTGTAATCCCTGCTCTTGGAAGTCTGTAAACAGGGGGATCACTACGAGTCCCATCTAGTAGTGAGACCCTAAACACCCTGCAGACCCCTCCCTAAAATACAAAAAAAATACAGTTATTTATAGTACAGAATATTATGATACTTAAGATATATTAGAAATGAAATACAATTGATGAACATATTGTATGTGTGGTTAGGGAGATGTGGTTGGCCTTTTGTCTGAAGTGTTTTGTTTTGAGACAAGGTCTCACTATGTTCAGGATGGCCTTCAACTTACTTACGAGGCCCAGACTGGCCTCAGACTTGCATTGATTCTCCCACTTCAGCCTCCCAAATTCTGTGACTACAGGTGTACACTATCATGCCCGGTTCAAAAATATTTTTGTTAGTGTTTACACAAATAGAATAAAATGGATTGACATAGACCCATACCAATGATTGTTTTTACATGGTGAGATTGTGGATAATGCTTAATTTCTATCATTTTGAACTTTGTAGTTTGTCATTGCAATACTTAAATTTTACTTGGGTGATTTAAAAATCAAAATTTTAAAAAGAAATTGACCCAAATTTATCAAGGAAATTTAAAAGAAGAAATAGATCTTTAAAAACGCTTTAGAAGATTTTGGTGATTGAAAGGATGCAAGTAGAAGAACATTCACATCTAGGCATCAGGAAATTTTGAACTACATGTCATCTATAATAAAGCTTAAATACCATTTTCTAAAATGAATTAATAGGGCCAGGCATGGTGGCACATGCCTACAGTCCCAGCACTCAGGAACCTGAGGCAGGAAGATTGCTGCTATGAATTCAAGATCAGCCTATATAGCGAGAGCCTGTCTCAAAAGTAAATAAATAAATCCATAATTCTGTACTTCATAATAAAAATGCCAACTCATCATTAGGGTCCTATGCCATCTTTCAAGAAGCATGGGGGTATAGAATGACAGTGTTTCCCCTACTTCTGCTGGTGACAGAGAATATTGGAATTGGGATAGAAACCAAATTTGGTTCGGTGCTATGGGAATGATTATTATTACAGAAAGATTAGAGGTGTAACTGCCCTAGAGATGACCTTGTTGGTGGCCTAGGGAGTACCTTTCTTGGCTTTATCTTCTTCTGCTCCAGCCCATCTCCACAGAGCACTTAGCTGGCTACAGCTTTCTGTTGCACAGACTGAGCTCCAGAAAGCAGCGCTGAGCTCTCTGGCTCAAGCTCAAAAAAATCAGGGGCCTGATCACTTCCTGTTGACTCAGATTAAGTAAAGAATGAAGGGTATCATGACCAACAGTATCTATTACAATCACTTGAATGGAGAAGAGTGAAGCGTAATTCCCTAAAAGATGACAGTGTGCTGAAAGACAAAACAAGAGACCTGCAACCGACTGTTTCTGTACCTTTGGACCCCGGGAAAATGGATTCAGCTGAACTCTTACACAGTTATCATTCAGATCTGTCCTTAGGAGAGGCCACCTCCTCTCCAAGTACATGAGGCCTTCTCTGATGATTTTTCCTAACAACAACAGCCCCTCTATGCTACTTCTATAACATGCTTCACTCTGTTTCATTTTTAGGTTTATTATATGTGAGTACAGTAAAAGCAAGGGCTTTATTTTTTTAAAAAATCTGTTTCAAATTTTATTCCCACGCTTCTCCAGCTTAATTGGCTGCAAAGAATGAACTATATGTAAACAAAAATTGAAAAGAGCTGCCGTGTCCAAGGGGCTTGGACTTAAAAAATATTAGAGATCTAGATTTTATCAGATGCATAAACATAAACAATTTTAAAAAGCAGTCATAATATAAAATAGCAGCTCCCAGCAATTTCTCCCAAGTTTGATCTTTTGGAGAAGCTACC